TCTGAAATATTGAACAGCTACTCGTCGACAAAGTTGAAAATGAGGGACTACTGCTAGAAGAGATTTGTAAGTATAAAATACAATAACATAGTCCACGAATTCAATCTTGCCTTTAGGGCAACCTTTCTAAGGAGCTTCAGGGATGCAACAAAATATCAATATCCAAAGATATTTCTGTTTTAGTGTATATATATATGATTACTAAATAGCTATATGATTGCCCCCGCGGGTTGGGGCTCCTGGTTAGCGCCACGAAGAGTGAGGGAGGAGATCTCCCTAGTTGGTCAGGAGTTCGAATCTTGGGGCTCCTGGTTAGCGCCACGAAGAGTGAGGGAGGAGATCTCCCTAGTTGGTCAGGAGTTCGAATCACCGTTACCACATTCACCTGGCTCCTGTGGTTTAAGGGGGTAGCAGGAACCCGGGGTTTTACTGGTCACTCAGTCTCAGCCCGTTGTATGCTCACCAGGTCGCGTCCCTAGTGGTCCACTGCCTGTTCGCCCACTCACGTGGGGTTGAGCCCCTGGTAATAAGGGTAGCTCCTTGCAGGATATTAAGTGGGGATCATGGGGAATCGATCAAGGGCCGCTGGCGGGACTCCCAAAGGGAGGAAAATTGAGAGGAGGTGACCAGGTTTCCCTTGCCAGCAAAAAAAAAAAAAAAAATAGCTATATGATTATGGATATAGATATATATGGTTATTAAATATCTATATGTTTGCAGATACGGATATGTGTAATAAAATATTCATATCTGAAATATCTAAATATATGTTTTGTAATTATTATTAATTCTTAGATTAATAAATTTGAAGTTAACATTGATGATCAAGATATCTAAATTGAACATATGAGAACTCTTATGTCATAAGAACTGTGTTTTTTTAAAGATATTGTCTGATTTTCTCATATCTGTTTTGTATTTACATGTATATATGTATCCATATATATTCGATTTTAGCGGATAAGGAAAACTCACAAAGGCATATCTTATTCATATCAGTATCTGAGATTGCTAAGCAGAAACATATATGATTAGTATATCATATCCGAGCTATATCCAAACCATTTTCACCTCTATCAGAATTGAATAAATGTTACGTTACTTTGAACTTTGGTCATGATGCATTAAAATTAGTATGTCTTAACAATCTTTTTTAAGGATAGCAATCTAACTATTTATACAAAGCCCCCCCCCCCCCCCCCCCCCCCCCCCCCCCCCCCCCCACCCACCACCACACAAAAAAAAAAGATAAAGAAAAAAAAAGATCTTTTTAGTTTGTGATCTCTAGCTCGTCTATAACTTCAGCATGTGAACCAACAGTGAAAAGCCTTAATTAGCATGATAACACGCATCTAGTTTCTCTCAGTTTGTGATGTTTATTTTTCGGGTAACTTTAGTGTTTTAGTTGATGGTTATGTTACCTAGATCGTGTATTATTATTTAAGTTATTGTTAGATGTGCCTATTAATATAACAATAGTGATAAGTTGCATCTAAAAGATGTAGTTTGTTAGGTTGGGGTGGATACCAACCTCTGCCGGCGGAGGAGCTCCGACGAGCTCCAGGATGACGCAGGTGAGCGTGGGTGGCGACGACGAACTCCAGGCTCAGTTCGAGATGGAGCTCGAACAGGCGAACGCGACCCTCGGCGTTTCGGGAAGCTCCGACCCCCGCGTCTGGGCGATGTCGACCCCCGCGTTCAGAACTCCGACGTCCGCGTTCAGCACCCCCACGCTCGCGTTTTTGGCCTCCCACACCCGCGTCCGAACAACCGCTGGCGACAGGCTGTCGCCAGCCTGTCAACTTTTCGGCTATAAAAGCCCTTTGATGCCCTAGGGTTTGCGGTGCTTTTTCCCCCTCCTCCGATTTCTCTCTGGCTGGCGGCGACTTAACACTGTAGCTACAGTGTTCATTTGAGGAATCTCAGTTTAGAGATTTGCTCTTGATTTGTAATTTCTTGTTAGATTAAATAAGAAATTATTTGTGTGGCTCCCGAGGACGTAGGCAGTTGCCGAACCTCGTAAATCTTGTGTATTGTTCTCTATTCTGCGTTTCTGTTGCATTAGGGGTTTAGGCGTTAAATTCCCAACATAGTTGTTAGCTAGCTAATTCTCATCTGCATTGGATAAAAGTAGGATAGATCCATTCGTTATAAACTATGTCAATTATTACTTTGTTTCATAAAGTTTGGGAATAAAAGATGGATGTATGATCAAAGCATTTGCCTTTATTCTTCTAATGAGATATTTTCACCTTTACCTACGTTAATCACATGATCATAGTCAGTTCTCTTTACCTTTCTTTTTTCAGAGAGATTTAACTTGACAGAACTGAAATTTAAATTTTAAATCTCTTGTAGGTAATGAGATCTTATCAATATTATGTTACAATGAGAACTATATTATTCCTTTTTGATACTCAGAACATTGTTGCTTGTAGCTGCAACTAAACCTTTCTTTTAATTAGTCTCATGCTCCAGTTTAAAAGTGCGCTAACAACGCATCATATGATGACATGAGAATCTTAGGTGATCAGGACCTATTATGTTTCAAATGGCAGGTATATGAACCTAAAGTAGATTAAAGAATAATAACTCTTTTGATAGCTGGGATCGTAATTAATGTAATATAGTAGATAAGGAGTAATAATTGACCCAAATTCCGCATGAGCAAGTAGATATTTTGTGTGCTTTGCGTTTGGCTTGATTTGTCATTTGTGTAATTTCTTTTTCGGTGAAAAGCCAATGTAAATTGGGGTACTTGGTCAAGAACATTAGAAAACCCATTAATTTTTATATCACACAAATAGCTAAATATAAACCTTATTCTAGAAAGCGACACATGTCTCGATCAACTAGATAACAACCCGACCCTAGTCTTATAAAGACCGGCTCGAAAGACGTTTTCACTCGACCGAGACGAAAGATGTCCTCGCTCGAGCCATCTCAGATATCCGAGGCGTCCTCACTCGGCAGACCGAGTCGAAAGGCGTTTTCACTCATCCTCTCTCAAAGGACGGAGATAAAAGGCGTCCTCTCTCGAACTCAGCGACAACAGCCAGTCGCTATCACGTTAAATGTATAGTCAAAGCCATCATTGCACCTCCCCTAGAGTCATAATGACTCATCGGACCACGCTAACCCTACAGACTCTCTGTCGATGCCACAATAAATATAAGGATGACTCGGATCACCCATTGCTGACACCTGTAAAGTACTAGCTGACTCTCTATTGATGCCACAATAAATATAATGATGACTCGGATCATCCATTGTCGACACCTGTAAAGTATTAGCTGACCAAGCCAACTGACTGGACTCGACCAAAGTTACACAAATGCCCTTCTAGATCTAGTATAAACAGGCATGTTGTCTACTACATGCAGGTATGCAAAGTTCGATATGCTTAGGGCCCGTTTGGATAATGGAAGTATTGAAAGTAAGAAGTAGGTTATAGAAGTAACTTTCAAAACTATGAAGTAGGAAGTAGTAGAAATATCATTTTTTTTGTTTCATATATTTTTAGAAGTAATGGAAGTAGAACTTCTTCCTCTTCATTTATTTTTTTTTATTTGGATAATATTTGGAAATATTACTAGGAAGTAATTAACACATGTTGCTTCCACAATTTCAAAGCCACACCACGCTCTTTAATTTGATCTAGCACGTTACAACCAGTTTTCATGCCGCTATGACTCATCACTACTTGAGAGCAAGAAGAATCCTTCAACCACATAGCTTCAAAATAATTGTTTACTTCTCACCTACGATGAGACTCCGGATGACCATAAATTCCTATAAACCTCCAATTTCCCTCCTCCCTCGCTCCTTTGATTGTCACATCAACGTGGTATTTAGACAAAGAATTAATAGACAAATTGTTCTCTTCATCCCAAAGAAAAGCTGGCCGACGATCATCACAAATTACTACAAAATAATTGTTAAAATTAAGAGCAATTTTATCAATGAACAGTTGTTAGAAGTAACTAATAAAGAAAATATTAATAAAGAATTATTTATTTCCTAATTAATATGCATTTCAACTACTTCCGAGCTACTTCTGAGTATTGAGGATTGAAAAATTATTTATTTCCTAATTAATATGCATTTCAACTACTTCCGAGCTACTTCTGAGTATTGAGGATTGAAAAAATATTTTGGAAGAATATGCATTTCAACTACTTCCGAGCTACTTCTGAGTATTGAGGATTGAAAAAATATTTTGGAAGTAAGAATGACACGTAGGCGCCACATAAGCGTTTAAGTATTGGAAGTAAGTTTTTCAGAGAACCAAACATACTTTTTTGCTTGGAAGTAACAGAAGTAGCATCTACTTCTTTTACTTCAGCTACTTCATAATTACTTCCGTACAAACAAACATGCCCTTAAGAGAACTAAGTCATTTCCTTCTTAAAATCATAACTAACTTGATCTTTGGATGAACCATTGGAGAACTCAACTTCGATCCTCTAGCGTGTTGCATATATGCAGGACTCTCTCTAGCTCAGTAGTCAGCCATTAAAGGAGATTAAGGGATCCTAGCTTCTTCAAAATCTGCCTTAAATCCCACTACTTAACTTCTAACATAAACATTAATGTTATAACTTCTCTCTGATACCATACAAACAACAACATCAAACTTTTCCCCCCAAACTATTCAGTGTCTCCTACATGAATCATAGTCTTCTGTTTGATTATATGATGCATCATCTTTTCTGTTAAATTAAATATTATCATATTCTTCCAAGTTCGATCTTTTAGCTTTATATCTCTACTTCTCTTTTCCCCCCTTAACTTATTTAATCTTGTCACACATATTTTTCTAGATGGTTCATTTAGGGATGTTTTGTTTGTTTAAATAAATTACATTAAATGTTTCAGTAATAAATCCTGATGTAACATTTGTTGCAAGAAATCAACTTCAAATTTGTTGTTATGATATATGCAATTATATTGTGGAAAACATATTTTCAGTAGAAATCCATCGTTTGATTGAAAAATTATTAGCACAAAACCTACATAAATTTGCTATATGAAGAAACTAGGGCACGTTTCGATGATTTACTTATCTAGATTTTTTTGAAGGTTGTAAATTTTCCTCACACCAAATTGCTGTAGCATTTACTGTTTCTAGTAAATGTAAGTCCATTTACATTTCTAATTTCTTCATTATAAAGTTATAAAGCCCTTTAGTAGCATATTTCGTACTATTCTTTCACCACATACGATGAAATAATAGGTATAACGTGATAGATCATTTTCCTAAATAATCTACCTAGAGATAGACTAGTGGTGCGGCTCATCTTACTTGCCACACTAAAAAGTGTAAACTTTACTTCTCCGTCTTTTGGTACCTCATTTTGCTAAACGAACCGACAACTAATGCACATCAAACCCGTTTATTTATTAGATATAAGTTTCTCTGTAGACTCTGTTTGACAAACCATATGAAAAATCTGAGAGAACTCATTTCCTAATAAGATAAAAATACCCTTTTCTATATTATAGTATTACATTGGGTTAATTGGATCTCTGGTCATTACATATCTATCATTTAACCGGATGTTTATACTCATATATGACCGATCACACAATTAAATAAGCACTCCCACCGTAGTCACAGGGTAAACCGAAAGCTAGCAAAATCAGTAACAAGGGAAGGAGGGACTAAACTTCGTTACGAAGCAGGTTATTAGATCGCCGGTAATTTCTAACGCCCCCCGTCAGCGAACACGTCATATGCTTCGCGACCATGATAAAAAAAAAGAACTTTGCTACAGAGAGCCAAAATATGGGACCAATAAAGAGGACAAGTGAGGTGTCCCCCTCCTATTGGATAATGAGTTGGCCATCATTAATGATGGCCAACTC